CTCCCCAGCGCGTCGTCACCACACCAGGAGATGGCGTGGTGACGACGGGCCGCGGCAAGAGCCGGGCGAGGCAGGGGGGCCTGCTCCTGCCCGCCGCTCCCGTCATGCCCCACCTGGTGCGAGGGCGGCATGCCCAGCGTGCCCCCCGCCCGCGGCGTGCGCATGGGCAGCAGGCGCTCTAGAGGCACCGAGTCGAGGTCGGCAGGCGGCGGCGGAGACAGGCTGAGGCCCAGGGCGCGCATGCACACCTCCAGCCGCGCAGCCACCGCCTGCAGGGTGCAGCACACCATTGCGGCGGGGATGGGTGGGAGGAGTCGGGGGCGGCACACGGCCAGCGGCACTGCTGTCGGCGCGGCGGGGCGACGGCTTCCGGGCAGCTGGCGGGCAGGTGGCTGGGCCTGGGCAGGCTGCGCAGTCGCCCATGCATGGCCCCCACCCCTCCCTCCGGGTAGCTGCTCCCACAGACCTTGGGGTTGGTGATTGACAGCGGCACGTCGTTGAGCGCATGCGGCGCCCGCAGCCACTGCTTGAGCGCCGCCAGCAGCGCCGCCAGCCCTTCCTCCTCCTCAAGAGACAGCGGCTGCGGCGGCGCACCACCCTCCCCTCCCTCTCCCTCCTCGCCGCTGTCGCCCAGCCCGTCATCCACCGCCGCCGCTGGGGCATCCTGCTGCTGCTGCTGCTGCTGCTGCGTCTGCGCCTGCGCGCTGCCAGGGGCGGCGGCACCGGCCGGCGCGCCTTCTTGCCGCGGCTGCGGCGGAGGTGCGGCGCCAGAGGAGCCCACCGGCTGGTGCTCCCCAGACGCAACAGCCGGGCCAGCGGGAAGCGGCTGCTGCTGGTGCTGCGCCGCCTCCTGGCTCTGGGCAGCCGGGCTGGCTGGCGCAGCATGCGTGTCACGGGCTGCAGCCTCTGCTGCGGCTGCCGATGCTGCCGCAGGCGTCTCTGCCGCGGCATCCTGCTGGCCCGGCGCGGCAGGGCCCTCCACCGATGGCGAGAGCGAGGCATCCGAGCGGCGGCCTGCTGTTGAGTCGCCCTGCCCGCCCGCCTCCAGCTGGCCCTGTGAGCTGTCAGATAGGCGGCGCGAGCCGGAGCGCTGCTGCCGCCCGCCCGGCTGGGTGGCGGCGCCCTCCCGGGCGTGTGCGCCGCTGCCGCTGCCGGGCACGCCGCCGCTGCCGGCTGGCTCGGGGTCTCCGCCTTGCTCCTGCTGCTGCCGTTGCGGCTGCTCCACCCCGGCCTTCTCCTCCACGCCATCGGCGTGCCCCGCGGCGGCCTGCTGCGGCCGCCGCTGGGGCTGCAAGCTGGCCGCCCCGCCTCCCGCCCTCCGCAGCCCCGCCTGGCCCAGCGGCGCAGCCAGCACCGCCGCCGCCTCCTGCTGCTGCTGCTGCTGCGCCTGCTGTGGGGGCCCTCCCTCCTCATACAGCGCATCATACATGGCTGCCAGCTGGTCCTGCCCAGGCACCGCTGCACCGGCTGCTGCTGCAGGGGCTGGTGGCGCCGCCGCCGCCGCCGCCGCCGGCGGCGGCGGCGTAGAACCCTCCTCCTCGTCCCCCGCGCCGTCAACCTGAGGGATGGCGGGCTCCTGCTGCTGCGCCTGCTGTGCCTGCTGCGCAGCGCCACCGCCGCCGGCCGCCGCGGCAGGCCTGATCCTGATCTTCAGCTTCTGGCCAGACGCGGGCGGCTGGGGCGGCTGGGGCGGCGCCGTGGCGCCGGGAGCCCTGACCTTGATTTTGAGCGGCCGGGGGGCCGCTGGCGCCGGCGCCGCCAGGCCCTGTTGCTGCTCAGCGGCAGCAAAGGCCGCCATGGCGGCCGCCGCTGCGCTGGCCGCCACCACTGCGCCCGCCGCCGGCGCCTCACCCTCCTCGCCCCCCTCCTCCTCCTGCTGCAGCATGGCAGCCAGGCGGGGCGGCAGCTGGCCGCCAAAGCGAGTCGACTGCCGCGCGCGGCGGCCGCCGCCGCCGCCGCCGCCGCCGTCCCACCCTCCCGTCTCCTCCTCCTCCATGTCCCCAAAATCATCCCCCTCAGACCAGCCCCCGCTGTTGGCCGCCGCCGCCGCCCGGCGCGCACTGATGCGGCCGTCCCAGGCCGCCGCCGCCGCCGCCTGGCGCGCCGCCTGGCGCGCGGTCAGCCGCCGCGGCCGCGCCTCGCCGTCCTCGCCAACCTCCATCACAACAGCGCCGCCGCCGCCGCCCAGCCGGGGACCTGCACGCCGCGTGTGTTGCAGCAGCGGCGCAAACAGGGGGTCAGCCCATGGCAGGCGGGAGCGGCCCTCTTGTGTGTGCGCATGTGAGCGGCCTGGGCAGGCGAGACAGCCCCAGCATTAGGCCTTGCTGTCCCGCCCTAAGGAAGGAGCAGCCCCAGCATGCAGGGGGCGCCAGCTCATGCGTGGGGCGTGCCTGCTGCCGCCAGCTCAGCCAGGTCCAGCCCTCCCTCATCAGAAGCATCAGACATGTCGTCATCGCTGGCGCCGCCGCCGCCGCCGCCGCCGCCCGCCGCCTCGGGCGCCCACTCCGCCTCGTCGTCGCCGCCCTCCTCGCCGCCGCCGCCGCCGCCGCCGCTGCCCTGCAGGGGCGGCAGGGGAGCAAGGTGCGACAGGTCAGCGCCACGCCTGGCAGACAGGGCAGCCCAGCGCAGCATGAGCATGGCGTGCCTCCTAGCCTGGCTTTCCACACACGCATACTCAGCCTGCTTTTCACCCATTCCCCGCCCCCAGCCCAGCCCAGCAACAAAACCCCCTGCCCCACCTCCTCCGCGCTGTCCTGCTCAATGAAGCTGTCGGGGCTGCGCTGGCGCCTGCGCCGGAAGCCGCCGCCGCCTCCACCGCCGCCGCCGCCGCCGCCCCTCACGTCGATTCCGAGCTGCGTGGGGTTCATGCGCGGCGGCGCGCGGCCAGCCACCGTGCCGCCTATCTTGCCCGCCCCGCCGCGCTGCAGCCTACTGCCGCCGCCCACCGCGCGCCCCACCTGCCTGGGCAAGGCGGCCGCCGCAGGCGCGCTGCCGGGCCTCAGCCCGGGGGGCGCTGCAGGGGAGGCAGCTGGGCGGCCCGGGGCAGCGGCAGCAGGCAGCTGCGGGGGCCGCTGCCCCGCAGGCCCGCCCCCCGGCTTGCCGGCGCCGCCGCGAGGCGCGGGCGCCGTGCCGGCATCGTCCTCCCCCGCCCGCCACCCTTTCTTCCTCTTCGCCGCCCCCGCCTTGCTCACGCTGTCGCTGTCTGCGCTGGCCGAGCCCCCGGCCTGCGCCTTGGCCGCAGCGGCGCGCCCCTCCTCCTCCTCCCAGGCCGCCAGCTGCGCGTCGGCACGCTCCCGCAGCTGCACCGCCGACAGGCCCGCCAGGCGGCGCAGGCGGCGCGCCGCCTGTACCGCCGCGTACCACAGTACCTGCTTGAATGCGGGGTAGCGGAAGCGGGGGCGCACTCCCAGGTGGTCCTGCAGGGGTGAGGAGGTGGGTTGGTGGTTGGGGGGTGGGCGAGGATTGGGTGTATGTGTGGAGCTTTGTGGTGTTGGCGCAGCAACACAGGCACAGCAGGAGGAGGCAGGTGGCTGTGGGAGGCAGCAGCACTCGCAGGCAGGCGCCAGGAGCCAGCTGCTTCTTGCGGCCGGGCGGCAGCCAGGCCCTTAGCCACACACACACACACACACACCGGCACACCAGCCCACACCCGCCGCCACTCCCGCCCGGCAGGCCAGCCCACCTCGATGCGCCATGCCTCCAGCTGCACAGCCAGCGCGTCTCGGCGCAGGAAGGAGCCGCCCAGCAGGAGGGCGGAGGAGGTGGTGGCGGCGGCGTGCGCCCAGCCGCCGGGGATGATCACTGTGTCGCCTGCGGTGGCAGGGCGTGGCGGGCAGCAGTGGGCGGGTGGCAGCGGGTGGTTGGCAGCGGGTGGCAGCGGCTGGTTGGCTTTGCTCGGCGGCGGGCCAGGCATGCGGCGGCGAGGCATGCCGCCACGATGCAGGGCCAGGGCTCGTGCCAGCTGCCGCCTGGCGCCGGCTGCCCTGTGCTGACCCCGCCCCGCCTCCACGCCGCTTGCCTGCCCCCACTTCCAGCCGCACCACGCCCTCACAGTGCGCGGGCAGGAAGAAGCCGGCGTGGCGCGCAGAGGCTGCCCAGGCCGA